TGCATAAAATCTGTACTATTGATTTTTACTATAATACCTCGCATATGTTTGATTAATTAGTATATGAAATACCCCATTGTCACACGTAAATTTTGTTTATTTTCTTTTTTTTTTTAATTTATTAAAGATGTTACATGATCACAGGCGAATACATAATAAAGGGTTTACAATACTTAGGAATACATAATAAAGGGTTTAAAATATATAATCAAGGGTTTACAACCTTAGGAATACATAAGAAAGGGTTTACAACCTTAGGAATACATAAGAAAGGGTTCACAACGCTTAGTATCACCTAAATTCGTTTCGTGTATCCCTATATTGTGCATTCAAAGAACATATCATAAAATGTTACCCTGCATGATTATATACATAAATAGGTTTCAGGGAATGGCCAAATCTCGGGATTGTGAAAAATGTACCCTGGGCACAGCTTTAATATTTGTAAATACATTAGTCAGAACTATAGGTGCAGAAATATTTACGTCACTCATGTCGACATAAATATTTCTGCACCTATAGTCATGCATTTATTAACTTAATTATATTGAACTCTGATCATAATATACGAATCGGTGCTAACAATCATTGCTACGTAACAATGATTGCTAACAATCATTGCTAACAATGATTGTTAGCAATGATTGTTAGCAATGATTATCATCGGAAAATCATCTACCCTACTCTTTCCAATGTCGGATCTACTTGACCTCCGCTAATCGGAGATTGAAATAAATGAGATGGCCTATTTTCCGAGTTTTATTGTACTAATTTTTTTCAAAAAAAGAAAAAACGATTAAAGGCATAATCATCGTGATTTCTATATATCAGGTTACTTAGATCACCCGGTAAAAAGGTAGGCATCCATTTTACTAATAAGTATATTTATATACGTATTTCATTACATTTGAGTGTCGCTAAAAGAAAACCCGACAATTTATATATAGATCATATTTAAATTGTCGGGTTTTCTTTTAGCGCATATGGGCGGATTGGACGCATTGGGCCTTAGCAAGTGACACCAAATTTTTAATTTGATCCCTATTTTTTCTATATTCAATTGGTCAAATGCATGAAACAATTACTCGATTATTTAAAACTATACCATAAATAATTTTAAGGATATAATGATTATGCAAAATCATGCGTCAAACCCATCTGTCCCAGCCAAAACCATCTGCTTTCTATTGGTTAGGGCTCTACTTGGACATATCATTTGACGTCTAATCCCTATTAGAACATATCGTTTGGCATCATGTATATTGTTATCTTTACAAATTTTTGCGGCAACCATCATGTCAAACGATTTGACCCCTATAAAAATTTTTGGGGTCTAAGTCTACTGTTGCATAATGCTGCATGTTGACTCATATTCGCCCATATGGACACTCATTTAGTAGAGATGTGATCCGTAAACTATTAGTTAATATAAATAAACTGTAGTTTAATCTAAAACTGTAGTTTTAGAGTAAACTACAGTTTATTTATATTTACTGTAATTCACGGATCACATCTCTATCATTTAGCAATCATTCTGATTATAAATTTTGTATTAATTTTTACTATATTATTTGATGCAAATCCTATCTAAAATAGTAACTAACCCTTTAACTGCATCAAGAAAGTTAGCATCTCGGCGCGGATTTCACTCTTTCATATGAGTGTACTTGATTGGGATTGGGATAGACATTTATCGTAATTTTAGACCGAATTCCAAATCCCAAATTAGAACTTGTAATTGTTTTATAAATAATTTAAAATTTTAGGATGCCGGGTATAATCAGTAAGTTTCGGTCGGCCCCAAATATAGTTTGGGTTATGACGCACTAGTAAAAACCTTTGGGTTTCTACTAAGTTTCAAACTAGCGGGTTTAGGCTAATCCCTAATGCCAAGGCAATATTTAGGCATCAATAAGAACACTGATTGTATACAATGATTTAATACGTCATATCACAATTTTCCCGCAATTGGAAAATGTGTACCAGGTTGGTGGCGCAGACAAAATTCTTAAAATTCGTTAAGGTTAAGGTTAGGGTCAGGGTTAAGAACTAGAAAGGAGTAGTTTTAATAGTAAAATTGTCCAACGAAAACTTTTGTTAGAGCACAAAAGGTGGTTACTTATGCTGACTTTTGAGTTATGAGCGATTTTTGGCAGAACGAACGTTTGTTTTGAATCTTCTTGATTGTGTTACGTTACACCTAATCTCGAAAGCTGATTCGTAGATCAGAAGGATTACGTCACCAACCTGGTACACATTTTCCGACTGCAATTTTCCCAGGGGTAAAAAAAATTGCTTGCCTTGGCATCACTCATATTATAATAATATTTATATCAATAATTAGTTATCAAAATAATTTTATTAATTATTGTCGCAGATATGAAATTAGATGTTTCTACGTATTTGATCCCATAAAACCCTCTTAATACTTGTTTATTATCAAACCTACTACTAAACCCTAACCCCAAAAAATGTATACCCCAAAAATTCATATTTTTTGGTGGCTTGCTTATTTTACACTATCCCTAATTTCATTTTTCTTAAACAACTCTGATACCTAGATATGAAATTGTCATATCGAGATGTTAAGAAATCAGAAATCACTGCCTAAAAATCGTGTGATTCCTTTTTTTCTTGATCTGCAAAATTTACAAAATTTTGCAAACGCAATAAGTTTTATGGGTTAAAATCTATTAAACAAAATTAGACATTCACTTTGAGATTTTTTTTTTCTGTCGGAGAATACATGAAAATGTTGTCCTTTCAGGACAAGATTGGAAGGGACATACTGCACCCCATTATTATAGTTACGTATCGATATTATGATTTCCTTGTTTGGCATTTCATCAATCTGTCATTTTCTCAATGGGTACCAAATTTAAACATTATTTTACATTATTTTAGATTATACAATATATATTTGTCTCACAAATAAGCAATTAATTTCATTATATTTTTAATTATATTTTTAATAAATAACATTAGCTTAATGTTATCGTTTTGCTTTACAGATGTGCGTACAGTACATACGTACTCCATATTAGTAAATGCCCGTTCTTTCTCGCTTCTAAAATAGCTCTAGCGATATCAATATCACGAAAGCATCCAATAAATCCTTTCTTATTTTATAATCATTATCGTTATCGTAAATCTAGCCAAATCCGGTCATTTGGTTATTGTAATATCACTAGTGTTATCTTAGATGCTAATAAAGTTTTTTCTTTTTGTATTTCGCTCCGTTTTGAAAGTCTTTGCATTTGTTACACAAGTATCGATGAAAGACAATAATACTTAAGTACAGTTAAGTATTAATTAGATTTTTTAAAGAAAAAAGATATTTAAAGTAACAAATCTTGATAAAAAAAAATTAACAATAATGGGTTCTTTTATTCACACAATCTTACATTCGGTACCCCAGTCATTTCAAGATTGGCTAACAGTCTTGTTGTTCTTAATCTTAGTTTATACTGCTAAATTTTACTATTTCTATTTTACTCGATATAGTCCTCTACCAGGACCATTTCCTCTTCCATTAATTGGTATATATTTATTACAATCATTTCTTTCGTTTTTTTTCTTATCTAATATTATCTAATATTAGCAAATTCATCATTTATTAGGTAACATTTATATGTATTATGGAGACTTAGATACTTTATTCTTCAATCTTCAGAAAAAATATGGTGGGCTTTACGAAGTATATAATGGTCCAGAGCGTGTAATCTGGATAGGTGATGCAAAACTTATCAAAAAGATTCATATTCCATCAACGAAAACAAACTTTCCATTTCGCTCTAGAAAACCATGGGTCGATGAGGTCGGAATCAAAACAACTGGAAAGGGGATTTTCTTTAATCGTAATTTAGAATCTTGGAAATATAATAGAAGGATTTTATCTCAAACTGTTGCTTTGCCTTCATTCTTAAGACAATTTTTTAAAACTACTGAACTTGTTTTCGAAGAGTTTGATGGGTATATCGGTAATTTACTGAATGTAAATAAAAATGAGGAATTCGATTTATCCAAGTGGATCGTCCGAATCTTGTCTGAATTATCTTCTCGTTCAACTACTGGTAGACCTGCATACACTTTATCTTCTTATTATAATCGTCTTTCGTCAAAGAATTCAAAAGTCTCAAAGATCAGTCCAGTTGAGGAATTAATAAACAGAATTCGAATTTGGCTAGTAACTTCCCAATTTGTTTATTTTTTACCGAAATATCTAAGATATTGCCCACCGTTCTATTACTTTCAATGGAAACATGAGAAAAATATTCAATGGTTGAATAATTATTTAACCGATCTTATAGTTAATAGAAGAAAAGAAATTGCAAATATTCCTAAAGATCAGGTTTTAAGTCATGATATTTTAACTTTATTAATCTGTGCAAACACGGAAAGGGGCCCTCAATTTAATAAACCGGGTGATGAACCTGACGAACCCATGGGCGATGATGATATTAAACAAAATTTGTATGATGTTATTATTGCTAGCATTGATTCGGTAAATATACAAATCTTTATGATTTAAAATTAATCACGTGACTGTCCTGATTAACTTAATCTTATTTATTACGCAGTCTTCCCATACCATTTTGATTGCACTATATCACATCTGCAAATGTCCTGCTGTAAAATCAAAAGTTTATGAAGAAGTCGATCGGGTTTTGGGCAATGATAGATCCAGTCCAATGAAATACGAAGATTTAGAAAAGTTGACTTACATCGAAGCTTGTATCAGTGAATCTATGCGCATGTTGCCAACGGTCCCGGTAATCTTTAAACAAGCAAATAATGATGACAATCTCGGCGATTTTAAATTTAAAGGTGGTCAAGAATTTTTTATCAATTACCATTATGTACATCATGATGAAACTTATTGGCCTGATCCAGAGTCATTTAAACCTGAACGTTTCCTTGAAAATAAAAATATTGATAAAATTAGTTATATGCCATTTGGTGGTGGAATTAGGATATGTCCTGGACGTCAAATGGGTCTAAATTCCGCTAAAACTTTAATCGCTTTAATTTTTAAAAATTATACAGTTAATTTAGTTGAACCAGATGCTCCATTAAAGAAAAGCTACATTTGGGCAAATGAATGTGACGAATTAAAAGTTTATCTTAGACCAAGAAATAATTAATATTACGTTCTATATATATATATATATATACATATATAGTATCTATACACATGGTCTTAATAGTCTGTATTTTACCAATTTTCTTTTTTATGTAAAATATTAAATATTAGAATAAACATATACCTCTTAAACCGAGACTCTGCAAATAAAGGCATTTTCCCTTACAGGGTTTAACTGACTAATAAATTTACAAGAAAAAAAAATCAAGATTTTGACCTAAAATTAACGTATTTTTTGTCTTTACAAACCCTGTAAGTTAAAAAACAACAATGAGCCTGAACATTTTTCAGAAAAGGACTATATCAGGGCGTAGGATCGATTTTCTGTTCACGTAATTTTCGAGATCAATTGGCCAATTAAAAATCAGGATCTGGTGTAACGTAAAAACCTATTGCAAAAAATCCTATATAATATATATTAAATAATACATAATAATTTTGCCCATCTCTAGTTCTAACGTAAATAAGCCTTTTTGTTCGAAGATTAGACCTCGAAAAATCACATGACCGGAAATCGATCCGTGAACATAAAACTGTAAAAGGATATGCAAATTTTCTGTTATACGATTATAGAACTTGTGTACCAGTAAATAAATATGCAGGTTCTTTACGTCCGCGTCTTTGCCTCCAGGAACCACAGTTATACGTATCTCTAAGTGCATGTCCTTAGGGAAAGGAATAAGATGCATTTAGAAAAAGGATGCACTTATAGAATTGGTATAGTTTTGGTTTTTATTAAAGTTTACACGAAAAGTATTGGTGGTGAATTTAAAATCGTATAATTAATTATTATTTTGTATGACAATGCAACAAATATATTCGGGCATCAGCGCTAGGTTTTCTAACATGTAACGATTCAAAACACATATCCGATGAGATTTATAATGAACCTGCATTGCAATTACCAAATCGGTTTGTCATAGCCTAGATCTTAAGAATATCCAGGTTATACTAATGTAAATATTAAACAATAGGCCAAGGTAACGGTTATTAAAAAATAGATCATGTTACTACGTAGCAATTTTTAAAGCAATAATAAAGAAAAAACAAAAATAGGAATAGATTAAATAATATAGTTTTCAATACATCAACTTTTATAAAGAACACACTTAAATCTATATTGATATTAAGACTTGGAAATTTTATACGTATATATATATATAGTTCAAAATTTTTGATAGAGGAGTGTATATATATTTAGTTTTATAATAAAAAAATTAAATAATTAATATTTGTATTAAATTTCAAGTTTAAAATTAGATATACAAATTTTTATAAGGTATCAAATTTAATTCAATATCAAATATATAGTATAGAGTTAATTAATACCTGGATCCGGATTTAACCGGATTTCATCATTTAATTGTTAGCATTATATCGGGATTTAAATATGCAGGAACATTACCTTTGTCCATTCACAAATCGGTTTCAAATATAAAGGGATAAAATGTCTAAGTCTAAATATTATGTTTAAATCCGGATATTACACCTATATCTGGGTTCATTGACTAAATCCGGATCTAACAATTAAATCCGGATCTAATTATTAAATCCGGATATAAATCCGGATCCAGGTATTAACTAGGTATTAACTCTACCAAATAGCAAACAATATTTAAATTTTTATAAAGATATTAAATTTATAAAACTTCTATTTTTATTAAGAAAATTTACTATTTTTACTATTGGCTGTAATTTATAGTACAAATTATAAAATAATTTTATATAAAATAAAGTTTTGAGATTAGCAGATTATAAATTTTAGTAATAGCTTTAGGGAAGTATTATTTGTTACCTGATTTTTTTTATCAGAAGCTTACTTTCTCCCTCTCTTAATATATATCTTAATCAGATCTTATATATAATTTTAAAATTTTTACTTCTTCTAAAAAATCACCTGATTTTTATTATGTTTCTTATTGGTTGTTTTTTATTATTTTTTATTAAAAAATCTTTTTTTTATTAGAGGCTTACAACCTTCTCTTTTTTTTTTTTTTTTATAGTCAAGGTTAGTCTCTTTGGCTTTTTGCTTTTATTAGATTTGTAGAATCATGTGGTGCTCTTTTCCTAGAGGCCCCAGACAAGTACATTCTGACGAAGGTATATTTTAGTCATACCTGCACCTTTTGAGAGTCTAATTTAAGTAGTCTGCCTATTATTAGGTTCTACACTAGATGCCATATCTGTAACCTACTATTATTTAGATTACTCAATTAAATCCTCTGATCTGAGTTTCCTATGTCAATCTATCTAATCTCACCTGGAACATGTGATACATAAGTCAGTCCAAGATCCAAGATCATCACGAATTACCTATAGCAACCTTCTCTTTTTAATATATATAAAATTAGGTTCTTATATATAATTTTAGCTTTTTTGCCCCTAAAAAATCATCAAATTTTTGTTAATTTCCTAACTCTATTTCTTTGCTTTTTTATTTAAATATAATTCACTTTTGTTGTCTTTTAGTAATGCTTATTGTTTTTAGCTTTGCTCACAGAAAATTAGTTTCTGAACCTTTTTTAAACTTTATTTTGATTTTTACTGTTTTTATTTATTTATTTAGTATTAATTTTTTGTATTT